ATCTGTACGATGGATGATCACATGAGAGTATTGATGGGAAAAAACATGTGAGAGCCCAAAGTTAATTACTGATTGGCTCGAAAAAATGAAATAGCATTTCTAAATTTCACCAGACCTGGAAATAAAACCAAAATTATTTGAAAGATTTTTTATTTTGTTTTTTTAGAAGTAAAAGAAAGATTTATTAATAAAATCAGAACACATACATAGCAGCTTCCCAAGAAGAGGCACAAGATGCAGCCTCAGAAACAAACCAGATTAAAGTGGGCCCACAAAAACATGTTCCCTACACACCCCTTGCTTGACTAAGTAATCAGCTAACCAATTAGCTGATCTCCTTTGCCAGAGGATCCTGACAATCATATTAGAGGCTAACCATTTCACTCTTTTCACTGCATCCCTGTAAGTCCAAACAACCGTGTCTGGATCTGTCAACCACCCCACTACCAGCTTAGAATCTCCCTCAGTTACCAATCTGTCCAAGTTCATCTGTCTTGCATACAGCACCCCTTGCAAAACTGCCTGGAATTCGGCAAAGATAGAACCCCGCAGTCCAACTGGACCCAAAAATAAAGCAATTATATGCCCTTCCATATCTCCCTGAAGACACCCCCTTTTCCTGAAGGCCCTGGATTTCCAAGCTGATGCCATCGAAGTTTAGTTTTATGAATCCTTCTTCAGGAGGAATCCAGGTGAGAATAGGCTTGGCCTTAGCATCTGAACAATTTGCCACCACCCCCATTCCAAATATCATCAAAGGTAGCCCAAAGTATAGCTCTTCTGATGAGACAATCCCAAATAACCTCCACCTTTCTTTCTCGATCATTGAAAATTCTAGCATTCCTTTCTTCCCATATGGTCCAACACAACACAGCCTAGCAAATCTCCATAGGAGTCTACCACTTCACTTAGACCAGCTGAAGGTAGTTGGGTTGGAAAGACCACTGATCTGCAAAAGCGCTGACCACCTACACTCAAAAAAGTACTAACGACCTTTCCCAAAGGCTTACAACCACTGGACAGGAAACAAATAAATGGCAAGAGCTCCCACCATTAGCTTTACAGAGAGTACACCAGTTAGGAGAAAGGCAAAGAGAAGGCCTTTTTTGCAAAGTATCAAAAGTGTTCAACTTTTCATGAGAGGCTTCCCCAACAGAGAGAACTGACCTTGGGTGGTACAGGTTTGAACCAAACTTATTTTGAATGGAAAGAAGGGGGAGAGGGAAATGAGCACAAGGAGGAAAAGGGAACACAAGAAAAAACACCTTTGGGGTGGGGGGTCCAAATCCTAGAGTCAGGTAAAGAGGGGTCCAAAGAAACAGGCTCGAGAATTTTCAAAAGGTAACCTGATCAAACTCAAGATCCCTCGGATTTCTTCTGAAACCCAGGTCCCAACTTTTTTTTTTTTTTTTGATAAGAGGTAAAGTAAGAATTTCATTAAGAGAAAGAAAATACCTTGTACAACTAGAGGCTGTAACAGGGAGATCAATACAAAAACTGAGCCATTATTCCATCAACAATTACAAAAAGATTTGCATAATCAAAAAGAGAACTGTAATCTGAACTGTCTATAAGTTAAACTGAGCTGATGACCGAGAAAACAGTTTGCCCACAATTTTTTGCCACACATCCTCCACTTGATTCCTTTGTTTTGAAAGATTCTAGTGTTCCTCACCTGCCATAAAGTCCACCACACTACTCCAGGAATCATTTGCCAAATAGCCTTTCCTCTATTGATCAGACCTTGTAGATGCCACCCTTTCAAGAAGCTGTCCACCAGCACCAGGCAACAACCCTTGAAGGCAAACAAACTGTACACTTTCACTGAGATGGTAGATGCTATAAGAGAATTTACAATGTAATAACAGGTGATCAATAGATTCATCTGCCCTGTTACAGAGTACACATTCTGAAGAATCAATTCCTACACCTCTACTCAAGAGATTATCCTTAGTCAGGATCTTATTAAAATAGACAGACCAAATGAAAAAAGCAATTTTCAAGGGAACGCATTTGCACCAGATTAGGCTCATAGGGTACTCCCGAGTACCGATCTTCATAAAAGGAACTAACAGAGAATTGCTTATCTTTACCACCCAGCCATACTCTGTCATCTTTGTTGGGGTCAATATGACATATGAGTACTATAAAGCTTTAAGAACAAACAAGCAACAGGTTCAATCTCCCAGTCATTTAAAGCTCTTCTGAAAAGGGGATTCCAAACACAATTTCCACCGGAAAACTACAAATAATCTGTCTGCTACCTTTGCTTCCTCATCCACTGCTACTACAAATAACTCAGGGAATCGTCTTTCAAAAGGCTACCCTCACACCAGTAATCCTTCAAGAACCTGACCTTGTTTCCATTCCCCACTTCAAAAATGATTTCCCTACTGAAATGACTACAACTTTTCTCTATCCCTTGCCATATTGAGCATCCATATGGCTGACTTGCTTCACCTGGCTCCTAAACCCCGCTTCTTACTGTATTTTGCTTTAATTACACTCCTCCACAGGCTATTCTCTTGCTGTCCAAATCTCCAAAAACATTTGCCAAGAAGGACAATATTCAGATCTCTCAATCTTCTAATTCCCAAACCTCCATTTTTCTTGTGCTTGCAGACCCTTCCCCAGTTTACTAGATGAATCTTCTTATCGTCCTTCCAGCCTTTCCATAAGAACTCCCTCATTTTTTTTCAATAGAGGTTGTCATCCCAACTAGAATTGGGTACATGGACAATAAATAAGCCGGGATAGATGACAACACACCTTTAATTAAAGTGATCTTACTCCCTTTGACAACACACTATAGGTTCCCAAATAGATTTTGCATTGCCTTTAGCCCCTAAAGGCATTCCCAAATATTTGGTTGGCAGCTCCCCCAAGTCCTAACTAATACCAGATGAAGGGGAAAAGGAGGCAAATATTTGGACAGGCTCGTATTTAAGCAAGGGAATATGAGGGAAACATGTCCTTAGAGTCAAGTTGCCAATCCAAAGATCTTCACAAAGTAAAACCTTATCTCCAATACATGCATCATACCTTGTAAAGCTCAGAAATTACGGGAGAATGCCATGAATGGTTTTCCAAGGTGAAGACAGCGTAGCTCACTGAGATAGATCAGTATCCAAACCATTGCCTGCTCTCCCATGCATACTTTCCACCATGTCATGCCAAAGCCTTCCCCTCTCCAAAGGCCATCTCCATAACCACTTCCCTAACAAGGCTAGATTCTTCTTCCCTATATTCCCTAAACCCAAGCCCCCTTGTTCCTTGCCTTTACACAGTTTCCAAATTTATCAGATGATCCTTCCTACCCTCACCTAGTTCCCACATAAAAGTCCCTCATAGTTTTCTCTACTTTCAGCACCTCCCTCTGTGGCATCCTAAAAACTGAAAGGTGGTAGACTGGCAAGTTTGCTAGGGTGGATTTTATCAATGTTATCCTTCCTCCTAGGGAGATATAATTCCTCTTCCATGCTGCCAACCGTTTAGCACATCTTTTCTATTATAGGTGCTCATAACCTACTTTCTTGAGGATTATATCTCCTAAAGGCATGGCTAAGTAATTCAATGACCAATCTGAAGTAAGGCAACCTAAGGATTCCACTACAACCCTCAACTCATCTTCATTTAGATTTATTTTAGCCACAACTTTTCTCAAAATTAATCTTCAACAAAGAAAGACATTCAAACAATTTCACTACCCCTTTTAGATTCCTTGCCTTTTGGGGGTCCTCTCAACAAAAAATGATCGTATCATCCAAAAATTGAAGGTGAGTTACTGAAATGTTATTCCTACCCCCCCACCCTCTACACAAATCAACAAAGTTTGCTTTTTTTATTAGTTTACTAAACACATCTGTCACCAAAGTAAACAAAAAGGGTGAGAAGGGGTCACCTTGCCTCAAGCCTCTATTCGCTGGAAAGAAGTCCTTAACCACACCATTAACTAATACCATTGCCTACTCTTAAAAAGTTATTTGAAGGAAATTCATTAATGAAATTGAGTTGCTAAGTCATCACCATAAAATATAATGAACCTTTTGTACTTTGTCATGCAGGGGTTGTGTGTTTATCAATTTATGTATACACTCCTTTGATCCTTAATACAATACATTACTTGGAAAAAAAGATCACCAAAGTTCAAGCCAAAAATGAAGAACCTGGAGAAATAAATAGCTGGCACAGAAAAAAAAAATGAAGTCAATTGACCTTTATGGTCTATAATCTATGTCATATGAGGATTGTAATTTCAACCCCAACTCCCAGCTAACACATTAAAAGAAAATAGATGCAAGTGGGAAAAGTAACAGATTTCCCTTGTTTTTTTTTATAATTTTTCCTTTGTTTATTCATTACATTCTTTCTCAATGAATTAATCAACATCATTTTTCTTGTGTGGATAAGTATAACCAATTTGTTCTGTACTACAAAAAATAGCTAATTTGTTTTATGCCTTATTAAGGGAAAATTAACAGAAGCAGAGATTAGACAAAATAAAGAGAAAAGAATCCCTATCATAGATTTTCAAAGGGAAACTGGACAAGTACATGATGAAAGTGACCAACAAACCCCACTTGAAAAACAACTGGAATTAACAGCTACAAAACTGCATAAGTGCATATGAAGATCGCCCTTCTTTTTTTCCATTTTCTTTTTTTTTTTTGATGAATAATAATAAGTTTAATGATTCAGAAGCAACTTTAGTGGATGAGTATAACTAATTTGTCTTGTACTGATAAAAATAGCTAATTTGCTCTATACCTTTATAAGGGAAAAATGAAAAAGAAACAAAGCTTAGACAAAATAAAGAGAAAAATCCTTCACATATTTTCAAAAGGAAACTGCAGAAGTACAAGAAAGTGACCAACTAATCCTACTTTAAAAGCAACCAAAATTAACAGCTACAAAACTGCAGAAGTGCATATGAACCAATTCACATGATTCATATGAAACAAATATGAAGGAAATAGGATGTGAAAGGCCAGAAAACTGACGTAATAGTATGTCTGATCCAGTTGAGATCTTCTTGAGGAACAACAACAGCAACCTCCCATTTCTTTCTTTCAATTATCTTGCTATCCAGTGAAACTATTTGATGTTTATGCATTTTTCTGCCATTCTTCAGTATAACAACAGAAGCAAATAGAATCAGATAAAGGTATTGTATATCCAATGTTGAATTTAATGTTATAAAATGACTAGCCAGTCAAACCTCTACTTGTATATCCAATGTTTTAATCGCATTAGAGAGAGTGATATTTCTATACTATAGAATTGTCACTAATTTCTTAAGTATGTTGTAGAGAAGGCTTAAAGGTATTGTCCTCTCTTATACTATTATTTCCTCAAATGTGTCATTCAGCATCAAATTAAAGGCTTAATTTGCATGTTGGGAAAAGACAATAAGTAAAAAAAACAAAATTCAATATAACTCAAAGAAAGTTAGTGTGAATGAGAAAGTAACTTGCATAAACTACAAAGTTAATCATTCAATATTAGAAGAGAGAAAGAGAGAAAGAGAGAGAGAGAGAGAGAGAGAGAGAGAGAGAGAGAGAACTTACACCATAGTCCATACAATCTACATTTGAAATGGTTTCAAATCAAATGGACAAATATTTTAAGCTCTGTAACTCGGGATTAGTTTCTATCTGTTTTATGCTGTAGAATATTAATCAAGTGACACAAAAACGCTATTTTTTCAGACCTCATTAACTTACAGTATAACAGCAATTAAAAACTTCACCAACATGACATTTGCAACAGGTTGGATACAATTCACTCTTGGTAGGTGGCAATACCCTAAATCCAAATGCACAAATCAAGAAATAGTACTAGAAGTATATTTTCCCTTGGCCAATGCCAACCCAAACTCATAATATCAGTTACCTAGTATTGTCGCCTGTGGCCAAACTTCCACTTAGAGCATCTACTTCACTCTCAATGAGCCTCTGCCACATGGAGTTGCCATCCTTTAAGTCTGGCCCCACCAACCCACACTTTGTTTTGTTGCAGCAATGGAATTCGCAGTTATTCAGTGCATAGTGCATACAACTGAGAATACATGTTAATAATTGAACTGTTGGTTGTGTTTAATTGACCATACGAAGTCTAAAAATTGCTGTAGAAGGTACTTTTGTCCCCAAAAATAAGCATTAAATCGATTACTGGCATATTGATGCCATTTGAAATATCCTGCTTTCATAAACCAAGTTTGCATGGGAGAAGTGCCAAATTTGCATAGTTGGAATTCCCTCGACTAATCCATTGATAACCAACAAATAACATAACATGACACAGCGTAACCAAAACAAAACAAAACAAAAGCTAAAGGAATCCGAAATAAATCATTCTTTCTCCATAAATGAAGTAACAATTTTCTTGTTCCCCAAAAAGATATAATACAGCAAAAACGGAATAAGAACGAGACGACCGAAACAAAAACGTAGAATTTAGTTACCCTAACAAAACCAGACATGCATGAATCACAGCAAGAAGCAAGCCAGAACACGCTTAAAAGACATCAGCAATCTTGTAATCCAATCCAACGCAAACCAAACAAACGAATATATCCATCGAATTGAAAAAGGAAAAGACCCAAATACATAACCAGTACATACCGCGACTATTCCAAGTTCCAACTATTCCAGCTAGAAACTAGAAAACGAACATAAGCCCTAATTAGGGAAATGTATATATGTATATTAAAGAGGAAAAGAAAAAAAAAAAAACACAGAAAACAATGATACATCCATGTAAGTGAACAACCAAGCAATCAATAAAACTGCAGAATTTTATCAGTGAAAAGGGATCAGTAGAAGACTGTAATCATTACCTATCAGTGCAAAGGAATTAAATTTGACAATTCCGATCTGATTTTCAGAAATTCGAGAAGGTTTTCAGTTCAGTAAAAAGGAGAAAGCCAAAAAGGCTCTCTCTCTTCTTCATCCCCTCTACTGTCGTGTGGGGAAGACTTTGTTCAACAACAGACCTCAAATAGAGAAATGATGGAATCCTCCGTCAAGGATAGCGGAGGACATCCTTATCAGGCTAAGGATTGTTAGATTGGAATTTTTCACTGCAGGATTGTCGGCTTTCACTTCAAGGATTATAGGCCCATATACGACAGCCGTTTTATTGGAATCCTTTATCTGAAACCGGACTAACTAGTCTGGGTGTAGATCCTAAATACATTCTCTCGATGATCTCCTGAAAGGAAAAACCGTGCTCGCAATTTTGAGAGGCGAAATCCATCCGCACATCGAAAATATGTTAAATTAATGGGGAGATGCTCCCGATGTGCGACTGGATGCCGTAATAGAGTACTCGCAAGTTGTTGATAGCAAGTATCTATAGAATTTAGTAATCTAAGTGGAAGGTTATATCGCACCGTTAATCAAAACGACGAGAGAGTAATTGAACTCTCAAAATCTTTCAGTTGATATGGGCCCACTGATGGACGATTGATAATTCATTAATTGTTATAGTACAATGATTGTACCCAACTTCCCTGTACTTTTATTTGGAAAGGTCAATCATTTTAGATTCAAAGATCGTGCGGTGTCCACTACTCTCAAGTCTCAACAATACCTGTGACTTCGGATTTTGTACTCACAGAACACACACCGTCCTCACAGCCTATTTCAGCTGTGCATTAGTAATATCTCTACATAAATAACAATATAGAGAGAAGGGTGGAGATATTTCCAATACACCGTCTTCTATATACTGCAATATATAGAAGGGAGTAAGCACGCGACACCGCACATGTTTTCATGTCGACTGCAATATATATATACATATACTAAAAGAAAGCGGTCAAGAAATTTTCTTTTTTTTGAATTTTTTATTTTTTATTTTATTTCATTTTTTAAAAAACCAATGAAATTCATTTTTCCAATAATCTAAATAATATTTTCTTCTAAAATTTCTCCTAAATTATCTCTCCCACTATCCCCCACTTTTTCCAAAATTATCTCTAATTCCTATTTATCTTCTAAATTATCTCTAATTCTTATTTATCTCCAAAATTATCTCTAATTTAATAGAGAGTTTCTCTCCTAAATTATCTCTAATTTTTTTTATCCTCTCCCACACTTTTTATCTATATCTATCTAAAGAAAGTTTGGATTAAAAAAATTAAGAATTATTTAAATATTCTAAAAAAGTTATATAATAACTTTAAAATATTTATTAAAAACACAAAAAAATAATTTTATATTTTTACAAAATATATCACAAAATTATGTACTAACAAATTCAATTATGTTTTTCCATATTATTAATTTAAATGTTTTTAAATATTTAATAATATGTAATAGCTTTAAATAAATAAAATTCAAATAACAAAATATTTTAAATATTTTATAGATTATCTAAATATTCAAATAACTAAATATTTATCATAACTAGATTTTAAATAGTTAAAATAATATAATTATGTAATAAATTTAAAAAGTTTATTCAAAGTAGAAAAATAATTATAACATAATATTGAAATTAATAATAATTTAATATATTGCAAAATTAATAATGAAATTATGTAATAATAGTATAAATTATGATTTTATAGATAATTAAATTCAATAAATAATTAATATTTTAAAATCTAAATATTTTACATATTATTTATGTATTTAAATAACTAAACATTTTAAGTGACAAAATATTTAACATAACTAGATTTTAAATAGTTAAAATAAAGAAATTATGTAATAAATTTAAAAAAATATAAAAAGTAGAAAACAATTATAACATAGTATTGAAATTAATAATAATTTAATATTTTTACATAATATTATAAATAAATAATTTCACTTATATCAAGTAATAATTCAAGAAAATAACTTTCAAAAAAATTTAATATTTATTAATAATAATTTTAAACTCTTAATCTGTATTTATTATATAATTATATATACTAAAATTAATATTTATTGTCTTTTTTGATAAATGTATTTTCAATTATTATGTATAAATTAATTTTGTTTTGTTATTTAACAAAAAACTTTCAATAATTATTGGAGATTAGATTACTATTATTGAAATTTTTAAATTTAATTTATTGTACTTATTTTTTTTTTGTTATAAGTTATTGATTAATATTTATTAGAGATTAAACTAATATTTGAGATTATACTATATATTCACTAAGTTAATACATTTTTAGTACTTATTGTATTTTTGTAATTTCTATAATTATTGTATTTTTCATTATCAATATGTTTTCAATAATTATGTATTTTTGCTATAATTTGTCAATAATTATCGAAGATTAAACTATTGTTATTTATCAGAGATAAGACTATTAATTTAGCTGAAATAATGAGTGTCCATTAGTTGGTTTGGTTTGGTTGTAGGCTATTTGGCAACCAAATTGACCTAGTCAAGTTAGGGAGTTGGTCACCTGAAACCGACTAATCTTTTGTGAAAATCGACCCACTCAAGTTGTATTGGTTTGGGTCGATTTTTTGTTTGGTCAATATATTCAAAAGATTTTAAAATTAAAAATTTAATTTAATTTTAAAAATTACGATGTAATTATTATAAATAAATAAATTTAAATATTAGATTTATGATATAAAACATTTTAGACTAAGAAATACAAGAAAATTCTCACATTTCCATATTAAAAAATATATTTAAAATATAAAATATTAATATATATCGATGGTGAAGTCGTTTGATTTTGGTCGGTTTACAAATGACCAAAGTGAAACTGATCCAACTTGGTCGAATTGGGTTTTTGAACAAAAGCCAACATAAAATACTAGAAAACCGACCAACTCGAGTCGAGTTAATCGAGTTGGTCGGTTTCATCAATTTGATAAATAAACCTAATTGAAATTAATTATTGTTATCTTTTGTATTATAAAATTTGTATTAAAATTAGTATATAAAATATGAATAATTATTAATTACTTGTTGAAAATATAAAACAATTGCATATTCTTATGTGTTTCTATTAGGGTCATTTATTAGAATACACTTTTAGGGATGGCAATTTTCCCCATCCTCGACGAGGACCTGACTTCCCCGACCTGATGGGGTTGGGGATGGGGATTGTTTTGGTGGGGCGAGGGTGGGGACAGGGATGAATAGGAATCCCCGGTCGAGGTCGGGGTCAGGGTCAGGGATGGGGATTGAGGTCCTTGCTAGCCCCGACCCCGATTATATATATATATATATCAAAACATTATTTATAATTTAAAACTAGCATGGACCCATGTGATGCACGGGATTTATTAAGAGAAAGCTAAATAATAGAAAGGCTCATATATTAAAATACCCCTTATACTTTAATGGATTTACTAAAATCTACCATATAGTTAGCATTTTATTAAAACACCACTTATAATTTGCAATGGGTTTAATCAATCTTCCATTAGATGACAATGGAAAATGGTAGTATTAACCCCAATGTTCATTTAAATAAATTTAATCAAAAGAAAATAAAAAATACCATTTTTGCCTTAATAAGACACGGGCAACCACTCTATTGGCTATATTTGGTCAATTTTGTTTTTTATACAAAAAAGTGTTAAGGGTATTTTTTGAATAAAAAATCATGGGCCTAATGGCAAAACAATCACTCCTTAATGAAAGGTTGGTTAAGTAAATAAGTTGTAAAATATATGAGATGTTTTAGTAAAATGAAAACTATAAGGTAGGTTTAAGTAAATATGTAAAACTATTAGGTGTGTAGGAATGGCAACGGGGCGAGGATCATATTCCTCATCCCCAACCCCGACTCTGAAATTAACCCACATCCCCGATCCTCGACGGGGATGGGTTTCCCATGGGAACCCGAATCCCCAAAGTGTTTTCAGATAATAGTATTTTTTAAATAAATTTATTTAAAATAAATAAAAATTTAAATTATAAATAATGTTTTAAATATGTTTTGATATATATATATATACACAATATAAATAATATAATAGTATATTTAATATATATATATATAATCAAGGTCNCAATCCCCATCCTCGACCCCGAGCTTGACTGGGGATTCCTATTCATCTCTGTCCCCGCCGCCACCCCGCCAAAACAATCCCCATCCCCAGCCTCATTAGGTCAGGGAAGTCAGGTCCTCGTCGAGGAAGGGAAAATTTGCCACCCCTAAAAGTGTGTTCTAATAAATAACCCTAATAGAAACACATAAGAATATACAATTGTTTTATATTTTTAATGTTTTAAATAATTAATAATTATTCATATTTTATATACTACTTTTAATAAAATTTTTATAATACAAAAATAACAACAATTAATTTTAATTAGGTTTATTTATCAAACTGATGAAATTGACCAACTCGATTAACTTGACTCGAGTTGGTCGATTTTCTAGTATTTTAGGTTGGTTTTTGTTCAAAAACTTCCCAATTCAACCAAGTTGGATCAGTTTCACTTTGGCCATTTGTAAACCGACCAAAATCAAACGACCTCACCATGGATATATATTAATATTTTATATTTTAAATATATTTTTAATATGGAAAAGTTTAAACTTTCTCATATTTCTTAATCTAAAATGTTTTATATCATAAATCTAATTTTTAAATTTATTTTTTAATAATTGCATTGTAATTTTTAAAATTAAATTAATTTTTTTAAGTTTAAATCTTTTGAATAGACTGACAAAACCAAAAAATCAACCCAAACCGATACAACTTGAGTGGGTCGGTTTCAACTGACCTACTCCCTAACCTGACCAGGTTAATTTGGTTGGCCAAATAGCCTACGACTAAATCAAACCAACTCATGAACACTCATTATTTCAACTAAATTAATAGTCTTATCTCTGATAAATAACAATAGTTTAATCTCCAATAATTATTGAAAAATTATAGCAAAAATACATAATTATTGAAAATATATTGATAATGAAAAATAAAATAATTACAAAAATACAATAAGTACTAAAAATATATTAACTTAGTCAATAGATAGTATAATCTCAAATATAGTTTAATATCTA